ATTTGTGCTGATTGCTTCACACAAATATAAATCCTGATAAATAAAAATTGCAGGATGAAACGTTTAAATGATTTCTCCTAAATTGAAGCCAAATAATAGGATAGCTTAGGAAGTCACCGAAGTTCTCCTTCGGATCTGTGGCATCCTCTAGTATTTCCTTCTTTGGACTCTAAAATAAAATGTTCCAAATTTGAACCAATCCCCCTTCACACTTCTTAGTCCGATATCTTTGAGATGTCCTTACTATTTGAACTCCTTGAAGATAATTTTTCCTTGATTTCTATCGAGAGTATTCTTAGGTAACTTCAGTTATCTAAGATGTAATTAACTATAGGGGCTTGCCCCTATAGGAAGCTTTTCCCGAACCCAGCATAATATAAACCCTATTTAATTCCTTATATTAAATAGGGGAATTTGTCGGCCAATATATTGGTTCCGCAGATCAAACGGATGTCATGACTTTCTCTAGTTTATTTGATCGAGCCTCACCCTCAATTCTTGTATTCATCCTTTGGGATAGATACAGAATTTGAGGTAAAGTGCTCTTCCATTTAAACTATGAAAATTATGGGGTCAGTTTGACTTCATCTTTTTCAAAACTAAATTTTTTTAACGTCCATCCGAAGCGGGCAACGGGATTTCAATTCCGATGACCGACAGCTTCTTACGGACAAACTCCACACCAAAAATAGTGCCGACAAGTTCATATCCCCTTCAACAAATTGAATTTCCCCAGCCTTCTAACAAAGCAAATCCTCCTCCAATTTTATATAGTGAAATAACCTTTTATGATCTTCAATAAGTTCCAAGGCCAAATTAGGAGAGCAGACTTGATGAGCTTCAAGCCTATTCACCACACTTTCTGCCTCAATAACATTTTTATGAACATCCCCAAAAATATTCCAATTCTAGTATCTTAAATAAGAAGCTATTCTTTTGTATATTTTCCAAAGTATAAACCGAGCACTACCACCATCATATATCCAAGCCTCTTATATAAATTTAAGAAAAGATTCATGAGAAGACCATACATTGAGAAATCTAAAGCAATAATTGTTTGGATTAGCAAAAGGAGCCACATTTAAGGCAATAGGAGTATGATCTGAACCAACAAAATTCAAGTGAACCACCTTGAGATTGTAAAGGCATAAATCCAAAGTGATTTCCCCAAAATCGATCTAATCTTTGAAAAAGCATACCCCTCTCCCAAGTAAAAGGGGAACCAGAAAAAACTCAACTCATATAAGCCAGCTTCCTCCATCTTAGCCACAAATTTATTAACCAAAGCAGTATCACATCTTCCACCCCCACTTTTCTCCAAAGGGTCCATAACCATATTGAAGTCACCTCCTACTATCAATTTATCCCTAGCAACTTCTCTCAAAGCAGCAATGGAGTTCCACAGTTCATATTTTTCAAGTAAAGTAATGCTAGCGTAAATAAAAGTAATGAAACCTCTGAAATCTCCCATAACAAAATAGGCATGCGCAAATTGTGACTTATCAACCAAAATGGACAGATTAACCACAGGTTTCCAAAGACCCAAATCTTATTGTTCTTGCAGCCAAAATGATTTAGGTGTCTAAAATTCCTCAAGAGTTTTATCCTCATGAAAAATAACTATAACTTCCAAAATAGCAAAAATGTGAAGATTATAAACCCTGAAAATGTGTTTTAGTCTACTAAGGAAGTGGGGGTTCATCACTCCCTGAATATTCCAAATCAAAAAATTAATCATTAGCACCCAACACACCCCTCCTAGCAGACCTAGCAAGGGCATGATGTTGACCACTATCAGAGTAATAAATAACATATGTAGTGAGGATATTGCTAGCACTAAGGCGGAGCATTTTGGAGTGTGTATATATATATATATATATATAAAACTTAATTTCAAATGAAATGTTTACACAACCTTTTAAAAGAGACTAGTTTCATCGTGCAACATATTACATAACTGCAATGCGAAAATTGTTCTTACCTAAATATAAAAAATTGGACTTTAAAGATATTAAAATTTACTTGCGTAAAAAATTGTTGAATAAAATTTAGTTCAAATCCTAGCTAAACATGATAGCAAAGTAGCACTAATAAAATTATTAATAGCATTATTTAGATAAAGTATAAATTAATAATTTTAAATTCAATGAAACTTAAAATAGTCTTTAACTTTTAATTAAAAATTTAACAAAGGCCTCCACAATTTTTTTAGCTAATAAAACATAAAATAATTAAATTATTTCAAAAGTAATATAACATAAATTTTAATTATATACATCTCACTTAAATTATTGTATATATTTGACAATGCTGATAATTACAGATGTTCAATGATAGTTTAGCTATAATAATCATATTTAGGCTACAACAAATATAATAGATCATGAAAGTTATAGTTGGTGGTTATAATAGCGGGAGTTGGCCACAAAGGCTGCAGTTGTAAGCTGTAATAGCAATAGTCGGCCACATAGGCAGTAGTTGATTGCCATACACACAATAGTTGTCACAAAGATCATTGCTGGAAACTGTAACAGCAGAAGCTGGCCACATATGTCGTAGTTGCAATATCATCAGTTGCTCACATAAGCCATGGCTGGAAGTTGTAATAGCATCAATTAGTCACAGAGGTCGTAGTTGGTTGTTGCAATAGTGATAGTTGGTCACAGTTCAAAGTTGTAACAATAGTAGTTGACCACATATGCTATAATTGGTGATTGTAATATTATTAGTTGGTCACATATGACATAGTTGGAATCTGTAAGTAGGGATGACCAACAATGCTCGACAGTGGTCGACAACTACGGAAGTTAAAAGTTATCATTGGCTCTTCAACACAATATCATACATTACAACCATATTTGGAAATATAATTTTAACAAGTGGAGGTCGCCGAAGGCGACAAATAGGGGCAGTGTTCGTTAACTACGATATGAACACCATCGACCATAGCCCGTCAGTCACGGCCCCCACAGTCATTGCCATCAATAACCGTTGATTATGAACATTGTATATCACCGAGTCTTCAATATGACATCATATGTTACGACAGTATTTGAGATACTACATTAACAAGCAGGATAATTGATAGGGAAGACTGGATTGGGGGCGCAATGACTGATGGTAGTCAATGACTACAGAGACAAAAGTTATATTTAGGACTTCAATCCAGAACATGCTTCGAAATTCCTTCTCTTCCCCTCACCAATGAAGGAGAGAGCATATTTATAATCTCTAGGATAAGAACACTTCAATTTTTCGTTGAATAACAGCTCAACTGCCTGATTTGATGACTCAGACTAATCTCTCTTGAAATAAAATATTTTTTATGATTTGAGGCTCTTAATAACCTCAAAATTAAGCAAGATTAGGCTCATTAAATTTCTCTTATCAAGATACTCAATTTGAATATAAATATAACAATTTAAATGTTCATTTGACATTTTAATTGACAAACAAGAACATCCAAAAATACAACAGTTTGATCTGGTCTTGATTGGATTCATATCGAACCAATTTTAGTATCAACGGATTTATCTTATCGAGACGGTCAGTTTGACCATAAACTTACTGAATCAAGACTTTGAATAATCTTGAATTTGAATCTGAAACATTTCTTGCTAAAAAATGTCTTGAGAATCAGATAATAGAAATTTCTCCATAATGTAATATATATATACATACATACATATATACATATATACATACATACATACATACATATATATTAATGATATTTTCTATTACATTCTGAAATCATGTAAACAAATATAAATTTTAATATTAAATATATCAATCAATAAAAATTCAGTGGTACATGTATAAATCCTCCTAAATAAAGAAAAGGGTCATTTTACATACATACCATCTAATTCCTATGCCTTTATATATCTAACACCTAAATTTTACATTTTACATATAAACCTTCTCATATATAGGGTAAGGTGGCATTATATATATATATATATATATATATACTCAGATTAGTTAGTCGGGCATTTGCTTGTCAGTTGTAAGTCGCATCTGACCTGAGGTTTCAATTCCCCCCAAGTGTAGGGTGTGGTACCGGAATTCTTAGGCGCATAAGGGATGATCGGGGCTCGTATAATAGCCTCCAACCATTCCTTTTTTATTTGGTGTTAGATATGGAAATACATAAAAATTAAGTGATATTTATGTAAATATTCCTTAAAAACCTAAACTATTAATTTAGCAATATACAAACCTTAGAATCAAAACTATATATCCAAATCATCATCAGGATCTTCATCCGAATCTGGCTGGTCATCGTCTGAGTCACGAATGTAATGTATCTCGCCCTTGCTTTGCATTCCATGGGCTTCCATTTCTACGGGTAAAGCGTTTCGCTGTAAACTATTCAGATCCTCATTGTTCTCAGCAAGGGAACGCCGCCCATCATATATTTGAATGGGCTCACCATTACCTGGAACATACAGTTGGATACATTGTAAGGCAAATAATTAAGAAGAGATAACTGCACAATACAGAAATATGAAGTTTTATCATGTGATTGTTTTGAAATATAGAACTGACGCATTTACAAGTGCCAAGATCAAACCAGAAACCCCCCACAAACAACAAGAAGTCTTTAATCCACTAAGTGGCCACATGAATCCTTTTTTCTCCATTGCGTCCTATTGAGTGTCATATTTTCATTTAATTCTAATAGATTAAGATCATTTTTTATAAAATATGCCCAAGACTATTTTAGATCTACCTCTGCCTTTCTTGACATAAGTCAAATATAAAACATCTACTCTCCTAATAGGATCATCAGATGGTCGACATTTAATGTAACCAAACCATCGAAGACGACTCTCTCAAATCTTGTCCGCACTGGAGCTACATCAACCCTATCACGGATATATTCATTTCGTTTTTTTGTCTCTAAGTGTCAAGTCACTCATCCACCTAAGCATTGTCATCTCAACAATGCTTAACTTTGTTTTATGCTTCTCTTTTAAAGAACAACATTTTGCGCCAAAGAGCATTGCAAGTCTCACCACCAACTTATCAAATTTTCTTTTCTAAGCGGTGATTTTCTACCTCACAATAGGCCCGATGCATTCCTCCACTTCAACCAACCAACTTGAATTCGACTAATAACATCCCCATCTATATCATCGTCACTTCGAGTAATAGAACTAAGATATCTAAAATGATCACACCTTTTAATGATTTGATCCCCCATAGTTACAACTCTGCCACTAGAGCTACTACTACTAAAATTACATTCCAAGTATTCAATTTTAGATCTACTACTTAAACGAAGGCATTTAGACTCCTACGTAGACCTCCAAAATTCAAATTTTTCCTGACTCTTGCTCTAATTTTATCCGCAAGAAGGATATCATCAGCTAAAAACATACACCAAGAAACATCCTCCTATAAATTTCAAGTAAGAGCATCCATAACTAAAACAAAAAGATATAGGCTTAAAGCCAATCTCTGACGTAATCCAACTAAAATAGGAAAATACTTGGTCGATCCTCCTTCAGTTCGAACACAAATAATAGCTCTAGTACACATATCTTTAATGACTTGAATATAAATCATATCAACTTCTTTCTTCTTCAAAACTCTCCAAAGTACTTCTCTTGGAACCTTATCGTAAGCTTTTTTCTAAATCAATAATAATCATAGGTCAATCATCTTTATTATCGTTGTGCTTCTCCATCAAACCTCTCAATAAATGCATAGCTTCCATAGCAGACCCGCCCGACATTAATCCAAACTGATTAAGAGAAATTTTTGTATCACGTCTTAACCTATGTTCAATTACCCTCTCTCATAAAACTCAATTCCTCTATAATTTGCACACACTTCTGCATCTCCTTGATTCATAAAAATATGGACTAAAATACTCTTCCTCCACTCATGCATCTTTCTAGTTTTTAAATAATATTAAAGAATTTAGTAAGTCAAGAAACTCTCAAATCTCCTAAATATTTCCACACTTCAATTAGAATATCATTAGGTTCTACTAATTTTTCACCCTTGATTTTTTTTAAAGCCTCATCAATTTTTTTATTAATGCGACGGTAAAAATAAAATATTTTAATTATTAATAATGATATTAAGATCACTAAGGTCGATCATATTTTCAAAAACTTAATTGAAAATATTATCAAAATAGTCCACCCACCCATGTTGAATATCTTCCTCTAAGAAAAACATTTCTTAATATTCATCTTTACTACATTTTACTTGAATTAAATCTTTATTTTTCTCTCTTTGTTTAGCTAAGTTTTTACATATATTTTTCACCCTTTTTAGTACATAATAAAGATCGCTGAAAACAGAATTTTTAGTGTCACAAATTATTTTCTTAGACTTCCTATGAGTTACCTTATATTTTTCTCAATTCTCTAGTTTTTACATTTAACCCACTTTTATAACACATTATATTTTATTTTTTTTATATATTATTATTCCACCACTAACTATTTTTATTTATAAAATTTTTTTCTTCTGATTCTCCGAGTTCATATTTGATCACTTGTTTAATAGTGTTTGTTACTTTATCCTATATACAATTCACTTCTTCATGAACATCCCAAATCTAGCAATCTTGAAGTTTACTCATAGAAATAATTTATTTGTCTTTTAGGTGTCCCCATCTAACACTATGACAATATTTTCTTATATTCTTTATCTTATAACCCTTCATTTTAAAATCTAGAACTAATAATCAATGTTGAGTACTTAAATTTAGCTAAACAAAATCATACGCTAAAACAAAATCTAATACGATTTTACCTTCTTCATTAATCACACCAAAATCGTAACCACCAAAAATATATTTAAAATCTTTCACCACTCTACTAATATGTCCATTTAAATCTCCTTCAATAATTTTTTTTTTCAATAGGTATCATCTGTATTAATTCTAGACTTCTAGGTTATTCCACAATTTTTTTTTTTAACCTATATCTAACTTACTAGAGAAGCATAAGCACTTAGAACGTTAAAAATCTTAGGTATGGAGGTAAATGATCCATCTTTTTATTAACTTGGATAAATTTGACTACCACATCTGATCAAACACAAATGAAGCCAACCCCATGCTCTCCCTATCTCATTGACTTTTCCTGATCACCTATGCGTTTGTGCTCATTCCCCACCTACCTAAACCTTCCTCCTCTCCTACGAATACCATTAATGTTTTCCTCCGTCCTCTTCAAATTGAACTCTGCTGCTCGTCTGATCATTTATCCCAAATAAACATAGTCAACAAAAGCTAAAGCTTCAAAAACTTTTTCGTTCATGTTTCAATCATATAGATGATAGAAGGATTGGTTCAGCACTGCAAGGTTGTGTTGCAGTAGGATAGAATAGTTGAGTTAATAATTCGGGTTTAACGAGTTAGTATAGGATTTGACCCGAAATTAATTTCACAAAAATATGAACCCTACCCAATCTTTTATGGTAAAACCTAATGAACAAAAAAGCTTGAATTCATCTTTAATTTGATTGAAGATTTATGTTGCTTGGTTAAGAGAGTTAAATCTGTATAGAGACCAGTGTTATCAATATGGAACACCATGAAAATCTAACTCAAATTCAACAAAAAAAGAAAGAATTAGGTTTAAGTCAACTCATTTAAGATTCAAATCAGGCTGAGGTCAAATTAAGTGACTCGAAAAAAAAAATTGTGTCTGAGTTCAAGTTGGGGTCTAGTCATGGTAAAAAAAAAAGAATAGTTAATTATTTATACATTATTTTTAAATGAAACACTCTTTTTTTTTCTTTTTTCTTTCTATCTTGATATGATCAAATCGGTAATCGTATCCATTTCAAGTTAAGTTTCTTGACACTAACCAATCAGGACTAAAATGTTTCATGTGTCTTGTTAAGTTGAGTTCAAGCTTAATAGAATTTGGTAGAGTTGAGATTTCTAAATTGTTTAATTAATACAATGGTCCAGTTAAAGGTTATAATGTTCATGTCAGGTCATTTGTAGTTTGGACCAAAATCTGATCCATGAATCCTAATTGCCACCACTAATATAAACATGAAGAGTTGTGGAGACTTGACGTAGCTAAGGTGTTCTTAGCGTCAAGGATGAAGTAATTGAGTATTAAAATTTTGTTCTCGATATTGAGCTCACATTATTGGTTGAAGAGAGGGAGGAATTTGATGAAAGTTTGATTGAGTTTGGAGTCGGGGAGGAGGTCAAGGTTTTCACAATCAACAAGGATGCATGCTTCAATGATTGGAAGTGGAACCCAATGAGACGAATGGGGAGGGCAGTGGAGAGGATGGAAGATTGAATGCAGGTGAGAGAAGGGCGAATGCAGTCGCCTTTGATGAGGGTGGTGATAAGGCAAACAAGAACACTATAGTTAGTGATGAAGTTAATGAGGGTACCATAAGAAACAAAAGAAAGAAACTCACTCAATTCAACTGATTTTCTTTTGCAAGAAAAATAAGCCATTAGGTGTATTTTAAAGCCACCATAATTGCACTCCGCATCCTTTTTTATCCAATAAAAAATACTAAAAAACTCAAAACACGTGCAAACCATTACATTATACACATTATCTGTGACCAAAAACTCCGCAAATGAGAATAAAGCTAGATTTACTAAAATCAAATAGAAATAAAAAAACAGGATAGAGCATATGCTCATCTACAAGCATCAATGCCTTGGAAACAAAAAGGTAAACCCTCCACAAGTTATGATGAGGCTCATAATTTCCAGAGGACATTGATGACGAATGAGAATAACCACCTAAAAATTAGAAAGCCCAACTACTAGATAGACTCCCACCTCCTTTCAGGATAAAAGTAAAACTAGAGCTGTCTACGTATGCCAACACAGTGGATGCTAGGAGTCCTAAAGATTTTCTTTTTGTATAATATCACCCTTGCATATGAAATATCAATTACCCAATTAAAAAACACATACCAGTAACTTATTTGTGTAATACCTAATCCTTAAATTATGGCGTAATTCATATGACTTCAGAAAAATTTAAGAGATCACTAATAACTTTATTTTATCCCATCATCTCTGAGAAAGAAAGAATAAAGAGTCATTGGCAGCAATTGATGATGAAGTATAAATAGTTGGTACGACAGAATTCACGTGAGCTATAGCATTTAGAAAAAAAGGCTACCTAGGAAGCAGGCCAAGAAGATTCGTACCGCCACAAAACAGGAAGGGGTCATATGTTAACATAAAGGCAACAGGCAAATCCAACAATGATACTAATGGATGCAAAAAATGACTAGCAGGCATGAGCTCTTCAAGCTCATTACAGTTCAAAACCATGTCTTAAAACCCTCATCGATTTAGGTACCTACATGAATCTTTTTACTTAGGCTTTAGCTCAGAGGTTAGGATTTCCTATCATAAGATATCCAAGTCGTTATCCAGAAAATGATATTCACCATCCTAGCGGTATTAAGGGCTTCGTGGCTTCTAAAGAGATAACATAAAGGTTTATCACCATGTTAAGGCCATTATGATGCTTAAACTGATAAGGCAAGCTCCACTCAGGCTGACCGCAAGATGAGCACCTTCCAGTTCTCTCGAACAATAGGACTCCACTCTCAACTTATTGATTGCCTCCAATGATTCTAGACCGACAAAAAAATTAGTGGTCCAAAATTCATTCAAGCAATTCACGCTAAAGGCACATCAGATCCTTGGACTAATACTCAAATTTAAACCATCATTATAATGTCATACCTTGGTGTTCAAATGGAAGTAAAACCCTTGACTTATCTTCTTGTTCCTTCTCTGAAAGCCGGAGATTAAATTGCAACTGCTCGAAGTAGAAGTTTGGTGGAAATGGTGGAAGGATTAGATCTATTCATCCTCTATCAAATGTTTTAAGGAATTGAGCACAGTGCTAAAACAAGGAACATACCTTAGGCAACAAGGTTTGGCTAACTACCATGTTTTCAGATGGAGTTGCAAATCTAATTCCAGCTTGTTCAATATGAAATTCTTCATCCTGTACTTATCAAATTTAGAATTATTTTTTATACGGTTTAGCTACTATCCGTGTGAATACATTAAAAGAAGCTTGAGGAAAAGGTTAGATAGCTTACGAGGAATTTTACCCTCCCATTACGACGCTTGAAACGAACATGGAACCTTCCTTTATGCAAATTTCTTCCAAGCCAAAGCAGGTTCTCTGAGCCATTTTGTCCATTGGTTATTTGAACCATTGGCTCAAGACTAGCTATTATAGAAGACATATATTCAAAAGCAGCAGTAGATTTGGGCTCATGAAGGTCAGCATGCAATAGGCAAAGCAAGACTGAAACTTTACCTGCAATCAGAAAATCAATATACTGGATGAATTCCTGCTAGCCAAATGCTCAAATAGGCATCTCATATTCATGCTGTTCTGAATTGTACAAGTACATACAATGATGAAGCAAACAAACAAACAGATTAATTTGGTTGGATCAACATGGTTCCACTATCCGTGATTTTTTATGGACACGTGCATCTCAGATAATTTAGTTTTAAGATACTTCACTATTTTGTTTTTGGGGAATTTAATCTCACACCTAAACTTTCAAATTTACACACATAGCACCCAATTTTTTAATATAACAAAAAAATAAGCACTACCCTTTTTAAAAGTGAAATACACTTTTTCATGCATAGGTTTAAAGCATCAAAGTGCTGTGTATGTAAATATGAATGCTTAGTGTGAAATATGTAAATAAATAAGAATTGTGTGCTAGGTATGTAAATTTCTCTACTTTCATTTTTTTTGGGGTGCCCTTGTATGCAGGCGTCAAGTTTAATGCTTCTATTCAATGGTTGGGGGAAATAACAAGCATTGCTTTGGCTCTTAATAAATTAAAAGCTTCTCTTACCACACAGCCTAAAACCTAAGGTAGTGTTCCAAGGATGGATGTGTTTTAGAAGGAACACATTATATTCGAGGTGGAATTGCCAAAACATGGGCAATCAAAATATCTCTTTTAAGACATTAAGATCCAAACCAAGATGACTTTTCACATAAATTAGGACAAACAAATATTTTATTTCATCAAAACAAAACAACACAACTCAAATACTCAAATACATAAAAATAAGCCCTACAACTCAAGCGGTAGGTGATCTCTCCCAAACTCTAATCCTAAAACTCCAGACAACAATCTTCTCATGCATGCCCTACCCTAACCTATTAAGCATTATTTATATCAAACAATAATAAATAGGCATTTTTACATGCATGACACATGAAACATCGATATTCACATATTAAGCATCTAAACATTTCTATTTACATTTTAAGCACCCAAATTTTTTTTTCGAAAGCATTTCGTCTCCTCTTCCTTTCCTCTCTGCTTATCTTGCTTCCATGTTCAAATTCCAAACACCGAACCTGATTAGAATGAGAAAGGCGCTAATGCTTGGAAGAAGGGCAGCCATAGGAATTCTTTACAGTAATAGCACTTAAAGTAGGAATGGGAGCAGAAGGAATAGTAGCTAGGAATGGATAAGGTAAGATGTTGGGTTTTTGCGGAGAGAGAAAAAACATGAATTGAGGGAGATGGATTTAAGTGGCATGCTCCAAATGAAGAGCCAAACAGGAGAGGAGGGTGAAAAAATTGAGAGGGCTTAGCATACGGCAATCATTTGTGGGCATTTGTTGAGGAGAAGCAGAGGGAAATAGGAGTGGGTGTTTCAATTAGGTAGTTTGGGTGCCATGATTTTGTTGAGACGACAGAGCAGAAGCAGGCACAGGCTAGCGGACGGTGATCGGGTTGAGCAAGGAAGTCGGTTGAAGGTGTTACTGTCGTGGGATGCATTTCATGAATTAAAAAAGTGAAAGAGCAGACAATCGCACGACGAAATGAGAAGAAGTATTGTATTTGAGAATCAGGAAAGATTTTGGGTGTTTAATACGTTAATACCGGTATTACTGGAATCATATGTAGAAACGCCTATAAATAATAAAAGAAAAAATTACGCATAGGCACCAGTGTAATATTACTCCCCTCCCAAAAAGATACCTTGTCTCATGGTAGGAAAAAAAAATTAAATTGTTGTTGGATCAAATCATATGGCTCTCACTCATAAACTGACTTGTGTCTTGACTCTCGTCCCCAACACTTGATTGAAATAAGTGATGAGTTGTTGACATTGCATGAGAATTGCACCTAATTTATGGCCCAGAGCGTTCGTCTCTACAATGAAAGGTTGGCTAAAATCCTGTAATGCCCCCACTACTAAACTTGTCATGACCATGTTTAGTTTTTCAAAAATTTGGGTTGCCACCTTCCTCTGAAAGTTATCATTCTTCAGTTTCTTCGTCAATGGTCACACAATAGAATTACAACCCTTCAAGAACTTCCGAGAGCATTTTGAAAGTCTCAGAAATCCTCTCAACCCTTTCAAGGTCCTAGGTGGCGGTCATTCCAATATAGCTATCACCTTCAATGGATTCGCCGACACCAAGGGCTTGCACATATTAAGGTCACTGCGAAGCTGCTCCATCTTGTCTCCCTCTTGAATACTCTGCAGTTTCAAAAACAGTCCCTTAAAAACTCCCCTGCTCTTCTCCATCGATCTCATTCCCATCATTACTCCTAAATCGCCTTCTGTTCGGAAGGCTGCCACAGTAAAAGGCACTGACGTGATTGGATGCAGCACTCTGCCAGTGTCTTACTCACCTTGGCTTCCTGTTCTAGGCCGAAATACTTCAAATCATTCTTCTGCGACCCCGAATCGCATATCGTCCCGTTCTATCTGCCCCGACCCATTCCAAACCTCCAGATGTTGTGCAACTCCCTCCTAATGTTGCCGCTCGAATCCTCAAGATTCCATCTCTCGATGCTGACTACTTTCATTTGTTCTAGCCATCTGAATGTTATGTTATTCATTCCAAGTGCTGCAACTCGAGTCCACTCTCAATTCCTTCGCTCGATCTCGTGGCTCCAGGTCCTCCTAATGCAAGAACAACGTCTTGATGCCGCACAAATCTTTCATATTGCTGCCACTCGCGTCCCCCTCCAGACATCATCGCTCGATTCCGTGGCAGCTGGCTTCGGTTTAAGTGAAATTCTACAATCTTATCCATCACCTCTTCCAAGGCCATAAATCTCCCTTCAATAGACAATAATCATCCTTCCATGGCCGAGAAATGCTCCTCAATTTCAGCTCTGATATGACTCATCTCTTTTTCTATTTTCTTCTCCAAAGCATCTATTTTCCCAATTACCATTACTCCCTGTACTATTTTGAAACTCCTTTAAGCGACAATCCTGTCGTTAGCTTCCCAATTATCTCAAATTGCGACTGTATCAGAAGATTCGGTCGTAGGAGGTGTTCACATTCCCGCACCAAAATCCCCTTCCTCAATGGTTTCGAGTAGGAGCAGAGCGAGAGGAGAAAGATGGGAATTACGGGATTGTACACCACGATCCCTACGTGACCTTCTCAGCCAGTTATAATTTTGTCTGTATCACAAGGTTACTATGAGGACAAAAGATCTTGTACGTTACAATCCATCATAGGCTTCCCAGATCGTGATTCCATAAAATCTTATACGCCGCGATCCCTAATTCTACATATTTTGTAGGCCATGATCTCATCACAAGCTTGCTAGCTCGCTGGAATCGCAACTACTTCGTGAAGCTGGGTCATGCAGCGATCCCGTTGGCTTTAAAGCTAAAGATCGAATCGCAGAAATTTTGTGGAGATGTTGCGATCCCACTTTGCTTTCTATAATTGACTGTTCTAATGCAAATTTAATAAGAACTCGATAAGTTTTCTACAGGAATTAAGGCAAACAAATTGTTTATTTTATCAAAACAATATAACACAACTCGAATTCATAAAGATAAACACAAACAATTCGAGAGGTAGGCAATTTCTCCCAGCACCTACAATTCAATAGGAAGGTGATCTCTCTCAAACCCTAATCCAAAGACTCAAGGCAACAATGATTTCATACATATCGTAAGTCTAACCCATTAAGCCCTTTTTATACCAAACAATAATAAATAACAAAAGTCTAAATTGGTCATAGGTGCCGGTGTAACACATTACCTATTAATTTGTAATGGCCAAGAAAATCATCTTTAGTGGTGACTATGACATATGGGCAATTTCTTATGTAACACCCAAATCTTACATGTTTATAGAACCACCACACTTACGTCTCCACTCATCAAATTCCCAACCGGACATAAAAAATCACAACAAAAACCCAGCATTTGTTTTCTATTATGGAATTCCAAATGTTTATATGGTTTAGTATAATTTTTTAAGCGTCATTAGATATGTACATGTGATTTATATGGCATGTGCATTATTCTCTCGAATATAAAACATGTTTTAAAAATAATGATTTTCTTTTAACTCATTTTTAGCGCAAAAATAAAATCCTCACTTTTTTGGAGAGTTTTGAAAAAGGCTTCTGAAGTTCAAAATTAGAGTTGACGTCTAACTGCATCCGAACGATGGATTTAAAAAATTTCATTGTTTTGAAAAGATTATTTCTAACTTCAAGCAACTAAATGTGGCCCTTAATAAAATACAAATTATCATGCTGATCACATAAAACGATCCAATCAAAACAAGCTATTCAAAGAAAATGTAGCTAAAAATACCTTGGATACAAATAATCGAAGTTAACACAGAATCAATGCCCAATAAAAAAAAAATTAAAAGTCAAAAGGAGAGTATCCTATAGGTAGTATTTACCACCTTCGGATTCATCGTCATTCAACAATAAAAGGAAAGTATTAATAAAATATATAAGCAAAAATTGCAAAAATCCTCAACCCCCGCAACAGCTCCCATCAGTTGGAGGATAACGAACAATAATACAAGCAAAAATCTCATGGAACAATACGCAGTCCAGATGGCTCTAGCAACAACAATGAAAACAGGAAAAGATAAGATAAGTTTACGGGCATTTGGGATCACTTTTGACGTTTGAATTTTTATTTTTATTTTTATTTAATTTTTTCATGTGTATACTTAAAATAAACAATATTTGGTATGTTATAATATGATTAGTTGTTTTTAAAAATACTAAAAAAAAATTAAGTGTTTAAAGCCTTTTTAAAGATAAATTAATTTATTTTTAAAAATAAAAAATAAAAGCATATAAAAAATACACTAAACAAACGTATTTTTAAAATTAAAACAAAAAAAATAAAAAATTAAAATAAAAGTTATCCCAAACAAGCCCTTCATGAACTTTTGATAAAAAATGACAGTCATAGTAGTGAAAACATAAAAAAATTAAGCACCTCTATTGAAAAAAATAGGATACCAGTTTTCTGAGCCACTTAGCCCCAAGGGATCATGTAGTCATAGTAGTTCATAGCATAATAAGCAAATTTGTTATAGATTGGACTTAAAATATAATGAAAAATGTCAAATAAAATGTGGCAAACACATACCATGGCTTCTAAGGTTGCTAATAAAGCTTGCAACCGATTGCAATGAATTATACCTTAGCATCATACTAACCTACAAAAATAAGAAAAAAAATAATAGTCGGCACCAGAAAAATTGTAAACCGTAAGGGTAATAAAATAATTAAGGAGACAATAATAAAAATGGACATTTTAGCTAATTTTGAAGGATAAAATCACATCAAGAAGCATTAAAATAAATGTCACATGAACTCAAACTTTACAATCGATCCACAAAAGCACATGCATACCACATACAGAAATAAATAAATAAATAAATATATATATATATATATATATATAATGCACATTGTAAACAAAAACTCTTTTCATTTTCACCACTAGGAAAAACTTATTTGTAGAAATTATATAGTATAGAAATATCAGCTGAACTTCAAGAATTATTGACGTGGGACACATGCTTAACAGGGGAGCGCATCCACAGTAAATGAGATGCAATTCCGTTCTGCAAGCCTGAACCCAAGCTTTCCCATTCGGGCCTTTTGATTTCCAACTTGATTTTTTTCTTTTTTTATGTTTCCTATTTCTTTATTTCTAATTAAATTATTTTATATTGAGGAACTCTTATATATTGTAGATTTTTGTTATTTTGAGAGGTAGTTTTATTTTAAGATAAGTCCTTTGGAGAGTTCTAGACAAGAACGGGGTTGATATGACGTATATTCAAGTCATTAAAGATATGAATGCTAGCGTTGTTACTTGGGTTCAAACAGAAGAGGGATTGACCAAGTATTTTCCTATTTCAGTTGGATTACACAGGGATCGGTTTTAAGCTCATATCTTTTTGCTTTAGTTATGAATGCTCTTACTAGACATTTACAAAAGAATGTAAAAGAATGTACCTTGGTGTATGCTTGTATGCTTTTCGCTGATGATATCCTTTCTATAGATAAGACTAGAAAAAGAGTTTAGAAAAAACTTGAATTACGGAGGTCCACATTGGAGTTTGAAGGCCTTAGTTTGAGTAGAACTAAAATTGAAACAACAACAACAACAAAGCCTTAATCCCACTGCGTGGGGTCGGCTACATGAATCTTTTTTCTCCATTATGTCATATTTAGTGTCATATTTTTATTTACATGAGCTTAAAATTGAATACATGAAATGCAATTTTAGTAGTAGTAGCTCGTGACAAAGTGGTAACTATGGATGATCAAATCATTAAAAGAAGTGAACCTGATAGATATCATGGGTCTATTGTTCAAAGTGATGGTGATATATATGGGGATGTTATTAGTGGAACTCAAGTTGGTCAGTTAAAGTGGAGGAAATGCTTCGAGCCTATTGTATGAAAGAAAAGTATCATTTAGCTGAAAAAAAAAATTTTATAAAATGATGATGAGACCCGCAATGCTCTATGACGCAGAATATGAGCCTTTGAAAGAGAAGCATAAAACAAAGTTAAGTGTTGATGAGATGAGAATGCTTAGGGTGGATGAGTGGCTTGACACTTAAGAGATACGATGCAAAATGAATATAGGTGTGATAGGTTTCGTGTAGCTCCAGTGACGGACAAGATTATTTAGAGTTATCTTAGATGGTTTGGCCACATTAAATGTTGACCATCGATGATCCGATTAGGAGAGTAGATGTTTTAGATTCGACTTATGCTAAGAAAGGAGACCTGAGCATATTGTATAAAAAAAGATCTTAATCAAATGAGAATATGACACTCAATGGGAAATAATGAAGAAAAAGGATTCATGTAACCGACCTCACTTAGTGGAATAAAGGTTTGTTGTTGTTGTTGTGATTGTTGTGGTTGTTGCTAAAAAGTAGTTCTATTTTTCACGTTTTGAGAGATTGTATTCTCTAATTTATGATCTAAGGAGTGGTGTATCTTTTTCTTTCGAAAGTATTGTGTTTGTATCTTGCTTAGAAATATGTGGTGGAATCTCCACGCTGCCCGTATCTCACTGTTTCCCCATTTGAGTTGTTGTTTTCAACCAGGGCAGTTGTTGAACGTTGTTTATCTTCCTCCAAACATCATCGACCACCCATATTATCATCCCATTGCTATTCCACAACCACCGCCCCACAAAACCTGCTTCCTAAACACCTTCTAGGATCCCTAGAACTGTACCAATTGATATTAAAGCCCGAAAACCCTAGATTTTTAGTGATTTGTTTTTCTTGTCCCAAATCTAAAATTCAAAAAAAAAATCTTCATACCCAAACCCTTCCCACCACAATTCCTAACCCCAACCCTAAAATTTCAAAATTCAACCTTCCTGCCTCCACCAAAATTTTATCCTGACAACCACCAACAAAATTTAAGCCCACAAATAACTTTAATTTGCAATCCTACACCCGCCAGAAACTTTATTCGAAGGAAATGGTACAATACCGCCAAGAAGAAACCCTCAACAAGGTGCCTAGGGTCTTACTATGGCGAATATGCAGTGGAAAATTCTCCAACTGCAATAGAGGTTTGCCACTTTTGAGAGAAGACAATCAAGTGAGGTCAACTATAGCCACAATAGTGACTAGCCAGATCGAGGGGGGAAGATGAATCTCTTCCAATGAGAAGTCTCCAGCGACGAAGAACCTATATTGTGGTGATTTGGCATTAAATATCAGAGAAGCAAATATTTTGGAGTAAAAATTGATTTGCCTTATTTTAACGGTAGTGTGGATCTGGATGGGATCATCGAGTGGCTCCAAAAAACGGAATGGGTCTATGAGTATAAAGTTATTCCACCTGATAAAAGGGGCAAGCTAGTCCTTGGTAAGCTAGGGAAGAATGGTTCTTTATGATGGGAGAGACTGAAGCATCTTTGATAACAAAAAGTAAAATTACTACATGGTTCAAGATGAAACAAAAGATGCAGCATGGTACATTTATAGCCCTCTTGGACATTACAGGATGTTCAAACCCCAACTTCAAAAGAGGAGAAAAAACATCACCAGGTGACCACCACGTACCACTTATAGGGAAGGTTCAACCCCAAGATCAATTAGCGAAAGGACGCCCAACGAAGTATCCAAGCCGACCCCGCCTGAGAAGAAACTAGTTAGGAGTGGAGAACGGGTGGAGCTAACTAGATTCATCCTAGCCACAAAGAGCTTCATGTGCCATAGTTTTGGGCACAATGCATCAGATTGTCCAAGTAAGAGAATTATCACTTTCGCGTAGCAGAGAGTGATTGAAGAAATTGACAATGACAAAAGAGAAGATGAAGATATCAGAGAGGAGTCTCAACTTCTAGCCGACGAGAAAAAGATGTTAATGGTTCCAACTTAACCCATGGGAAAGCCTCCAGTAAGACTAACACTGGTTGTCCTAAAAAGTAGTGAGTTTGAAGAATCGATACCCAAAAAAAAACAACCCTTATTGACGAAGTTGTCAGATATCCTAACCAATAGTTAACTTCTAGGGTGGTTGCAGCTGAGAATGGTTCAACATACATTCATCCCAAGGTCGATTCCTACTAACATGTTCTTTTATCTGTTACATCCAACTTAGTACAAGGAGTGGAAGAAGTGTTACATGTTTAATTGCTCGAGACTTTGTTCATGAGAATACATGTATAACGCGGGGCTCACCTACCATGGGCCTTACTTGCGTTGAAGGGCTGAACCGATTGGTTAAGCCAAGAAGACTAGGGTCAACCGACCAGTCCATAGTGTTTTTCCACCCAAAGGGGAGGGGCCTCTCCTTCCTATTCTAGCTATTATTATATATATAATGTTTGCTTGCTTGGGGTTTAGTTTTTGTTTCCTCTAATTTCAAATTTCTGCCTCTAAGCATTCCTCCCTTCCTATGATTGTATCTAACGATGAGAAGGCGCTCCAGCTGTAGCTCGATCCCATGGGATATCCATTGCTCCCAACTCCCCTTTGTAGTCCACCTTCCCTGTTTCCAGCAGCTAGCCTCAATCCCCTGTCCTACTTTCAACCGCCTGCCACCCAAAACCTCCACCCGTAGCCGTTCCAAGTCCTCCAACCATCCAACACTACCTCCCAACCCTTCTCTTCCTATTTCTCCCTACTGTAACAGCAACAACCTCCTCTCCCACCCACCCCCTCCTAAACCACCCAGCCAATAATTCTTCTTGTAAGGACTTAACCGCAAGCACCCCCTCCCTACTATTCAACCATCACCTTCGTCTTAGCCCTAATTGGTGTGTATGTATTGTGACCTTCGTTGTCATGTCCTAGTGTCGTCATTTTGTGTCATTAATTCTTGTTTTCAAGAGTCGTCATTGTAACCTATTTAAATTTAATATTGCATTTTTTTGTGGTTTCGACTAACCACAGTATCATTTGATATTAGAGCTGGCATAACCCTAGTCTTATCTTAGGGTTTCCTCGCATCTGCTCTACCCCTCCACCAAAACTTTTCTTTCGTATTCCCAAGACATAGCAGGAATTTGACCTAACCTAATTTTCCCCTACTGATTTTCGAAATCAGCAACCCTATAACCAATTTTTAGACCCTCTTTCACCATGAATCCCAAACTCTAACCATGTCGCCAAAGAGATACATGTCGGACCCTATCCAAGATGAGATACAACAAAGATCTGTCACCTTCAGCAAAGGTTGATCAAGACGGATGACGGGACTCAGAGGGAGATTACCCTCGGCTGAGATCTGGAGAGCCACAAAGAAGAAAGGTATGAGGATCTGACATTGTTCCACAAGGAATACATCAGAAATGAGGAATACTGACCCAACACTTCGAAATTCAGTACTAGAAAAGGCCGAGAGAGGTGACCACTTATGGAGGACACAGGGATTTACGCATTAAAGTGGATTATCGGAGTTCAATGGAGGTATGGATTTAGATGAATTTCTCGATTGGTTGCAATATGTCGAGTGAATCCTTGAGTACAAAGATACGACAAAGGATAAAAGGGTAAAACTAGTAGTCATCAAGTTGAAGAAGAGCGTGAGCGTCTCCCTGTGATGAGAAAACATAAAGAGGAAGAGAAGATAGAACAGTGACAAGATCACTAAGTTGGAGAAAACAATGAATTAATTATTATTTATGAAAATAATAATCAGAGTTTTAAAAGTATAAAAAGCACATA